CCCATACAACCGTTCGTAACTAGCACTAAGTTTGCTACGTGATCAGCTTGTCGGAGCGTGGCTATTACATTCGACGTAAGATGAGTCGGCGTGATATCCATTACAGGATGATGTAACTGAGGGCCAAAAATGAAGCACACACGGTTTACATTATGACATACACGCGGTATTAGTTTTGCAAGGAACAACAGATCGTTCCATTCTATTCCCTCGGTTACGCTTTCTTCGACGGATAAACCTACTACGTAACTGTAACTTCTTCGATCTCCCTAATAATATAATTGAATACATTTAGTAAACATTAGATGATCATATCGTAAAAAACCATTGATATCGATGATGAAAGTCATACCTGTACTCCTACACTACGTATAGGTAAAAGCGTTGCAGCGATATGACGATAACTAGATAATTGTCGCAAATACTGGCGTTCAGATTCGCTAGTTGCATCTTCTACACGATTTAATAATCCGTGTTTCTTTTGAAGCATTTGTTCATATTCTGCCATTATCTTGACTATCACCTTGAATCGAGTTCATTCGAAATAAAATATCGTGCCTTTGGAAATATTAATTTAATAATTTATAATAAAAAACAAACCTGCGTTTCTGGGAAATCTTTGTCCATATAAGGTTCGTCCGCGCAAAGAATACGTACAGCAAGTCCAGGTCCGGGAAACGGATGACGAGAAACTAGCGATGATGGTAATCCAAGATCGCGACCTAATTGTCTCACTTCGTCCTTGTGAAAATCTTTTAAAGGTTCTACTACCTGGCCCTGTGCTCTCAAAGCTCTAACAAGATCGCTATCATTGTGATGTGTTTTTATCGCGTCAGCTTTACCTGATAGAAAGGTGTGCATGTTAGGTAAACGCGATCGATTATTTCTTGCGAATATGAAAGAATATTAATTTACCACTAGCTAATGCATTTGCACTTTCTATAAGATCGGGCCTGAGGGTGCCTTGCCCAAGAAATACTTCCTCTGGCTTTAAACCCATTTCTGCCATAGCTTCGTTTGCTACCTTTACAAAAACATCACCTATAATTTTTCGCTTTTCTTCGGGATTAGTTGTTGCACACAGCACTTTAGTTAATCTAGTTCTTGGGGTAGTTGCTGTTCCACATATTCCTTTGTTGTTCACGGTATTTGCGTTGGCGACTGGAGTGACATTATCCAAAGGGACAGATGTAGTTCCTTGCATGAACCAACGTACGGCATTGACTACTCTCAGTCGAATTCCTAACTCTGCCAAACTTTGCTCCACAAATTGTGTCTCTCCTTTTCGCATGAAGCCGTTGTTGATATGCAGAGCTATGACTTGATCCTTATTTAAAGCTTTATGTAACAGCGCCGCGCATACTGTGGAATCCACACCTCCGCTCACTAACAACTATGATTGTTTTTTTCTATTTTAATTAACAATCACACTTTGTCATACCTTATACTATGTCATTTAATTATCTTCCAAAATAGGATATTGCATCTTACGTAATTAAATGTTATGTACTTTAAGAGCTTTAGGTTGAGAGTTTTTTAATTAAGCTAATAAGTGATTAAATTTTAAATTAAAAGAAATTTAATTTCTTACCAAAACTTTCTTGTTGCCAACAGTATCTCTGATATACTGAATACACTGTGCTTCCCGGCCACGAAGTGTATAGTTACCCGTAAGACCAGCAATACCAAATAAAAAATTGTTTAACATCATTTTTCCATTAGGAGTAAGATCTACCTCCGGGTGAAATTGTACCCCGTATAAATTCATTTTGTCACTTGCTATCCCGGCTATAAAGTTTGATGATCTGGCAGTAATGTGAAAACTATCAGCCACCCTGTCTATACTGTCTCCATGTGTTAAAAGTACCATTTGTTCCTTATCCAAGCCCCTGATATTCAATTTGCTCTTTTTATATTATATTCGAACATTAAAATACCAAATGAAAATGCTTTTTTAGACTCACTTACTTAAATAAAAGGCACTTGGAGTCTATTTCTATTGGAAACTGACCATCTTCTCTACCTTCTTTGCTGATTACTGTACCTCCAAACTCTTTATTCATCATTTGCATTCCATAACAAATACCTAGTACCGGTATTCCTATTCTAAAGATGTCTGCATCATATTTAGGTGCATCTTCTGCATATACAGAACTTGGCCCTCCAGAAATTATAATAGCCCTATAGTTTACAGTTGAAATGATAATTATTATTCATACACATCTTGTTTGTTACATATATGTATAAATATGATATGATATGATATTTAATCATACTTATAGCCTTTTTCTTGGAGGGTAAACGCAGATGTATCAAGAGGCAGAATTTCACTGTGAACATTCAATTCACGAATTTTTCGATCTATCACTTTACCATATTGTGCACCTGCATCCAAAATAGCCACTTTTTCTTCAACACAAGCCATTCCCATTGTTCCTTCATTAGCCCCATTATTTCTCTCTGCGCGAAACAACAATCCGTCCGCGCTTTTTTCCATTTCAAAATTTCTTCTATTGCTATTACTATTGCTATTGCTATTGCTGTTGCTCTTGCTGCTGCTGTGATTTCAATATCCCTATAAATTTGTAATAAACATGATGAGAAAAAAAATAAAAATGTATAGATAGTGAATCAAGCTAAAAATAGTTAAATAACAGATTTACCAAAATTCAACAAAACAAAATCTATATTAAACAATTTTTTACTGAAAATATGACAACATATAAATACTTTATCATTTTATGTTCTCACAGTTAAAATTACTATTTGATTAGCTAACTTGAATATTTTTAAATAATTCTATATATATATATATAGATTATTTCAATCTCATTTGATAGTATTTACTTGATCATTTAGATTATTCCAATACAGCTGACTTAGAGCTCTGAATATTTCATCAAGCAAAGATTACATTATAAATTTTTTTTCTTGGTAAATGATAAAATTACATGGATTTTTCCATTATGAATAATAGCTAAAGGTATTACCGTGTGCAAATAGAAGATGCTTTTATGGTATGTCACAATCCAGTACAAATTCTGGCAACTACTGTACATTATCGATATTTATTTCGGTTTCTACATTTATTTCAAAGAATGCGCATCTACGTCCGTTACAGTTTAATGAACAATTTAACTGATGTTTAGAGAAAAAACATTAAATACGATATTTAGCAAAAAATAAATAACCGGCCGTAAATTTTATGAGCACGTTTCTTACAAACGATGGTATAATAATAACGCATCTGCCATACGAATCATCTGTTTCGAGGTAATGGAAAAGTAACGAAGAACTTACCAAATTATATGAGCCAGAGTATCTTTCACGCGTAAATCACCAAGTAACGTAAAATTAATTACAGCAAAACAGAATGTGCACTCTTTGGACGAGGCAGCCATTCAATCGCCTGCAATAGCCACAATTTAGTGACTGCATTCAGACTAAAAGTACTATGGAAAACCAACATTACAGCGTGAAATTTACTAGCAGAACTGGTTGTTTCCTAAATTAACTGATTAATTTCAGCAGTAATATCATTTCAGACGTTCATTTCAGTTCCGTTATATAGTTCAAATTACAAATTTTCTAATGTAATGCTCCAATTTTAATGATCGATAAGTTAATCATGAAAATCACTAGTAACTTATCTAGGTTTTTTCTGTAACCGAAGTAACATGAAGTTAGCTAAGTCTGACATTTATTGAGCAGCATTTTTGGGCACGTTTGAGGGCTATGTTTATTATTTCTTATGTATTTATATAGCACGGATACACAAAAATGTAGGAAAATCAAAGTATGATGCACTCGTGGTGTTTAATAAAGCATCAGATCAATATTTTACAATATGCAAAATTATAACAATAATATTCGATTGATTAAAATATAAATTTGTCTTAATAATCTTTCACTAGACGAGTTGCCAATTTAAGAGGCTCCTCCAAGTTTCTGCTTTACCAGGTCCTAAAATATTTATAGTATCTGGCATGTAATTTCTATAATTTGTACAAGTTCAAATGAAAATCGTTCAATAAGTATTTCGAGAAAAGGGAATGAACGTATCATTTTTGTATCGTGTAAGATGTCATCCACATTTCCAATCGTTTCTTGCTGTGAGATAGATTACAAAATTTCTATAAATTCTAGCGATAATAGTTCTAAAGAGGTCAAATATTTTCTACCGTCAGAGGTTGCGGTACACAATACATCAATCGACTGTTGGGTCTCGTACAATGACGAAGTGTACGATTTAACTGATCTCTGTAAAATTTGGGCCGACAAAAGAGAAATCAAACCTATTATAGCCCATGCTGGCAAAGACATCAGTCATTGGTTTGATCACGAAAAAAATGATATCAGATATCATATACATCCGGTTACGGGAGTATCAGTGCCTTATTGTCCACACGGACCGATACCGGATGCAACTTCTTCTTGCGTAGTACCTGCTGCTACTTGGCGGCCCTTAGACAAATGCCCTTGGTGGTTAGATCCAAAATACAAAATAGGGCTCTTAACCAAGAATGCACGACCCTGTCGAATTTTAAATGTACTCACTGGTATCCAAGTTGTTATAATGGTAGGGATCTTATATTAGATGAAAAACAAGAAAAAATGATGTGTTAAACAAAGAATTTCACAAAGGTTTGCGAAGAAGATACCATCAGACGGATTCAAGAACGTGCTCGTATTTACAATGAAAATGTGGCATCTTACACGTGGAAATTCGAGGGAAAGGACATAGATCTTGACTTGACTTTAACAGAAAATAATATTCCTGACGAACGGAATCGCTTCGCAGCTTGTGGACTTTCTGAGGATTATTACATCCCGTCTCTAATGTGTTATTACAATTATTGAATGACTTGTGATTTTAGTATTTTGATATTTGAAAATAATTATATAATTATATAAAATAAGTATATGTTTTATAACGAAACAAGTTTCCTACGATATCATCGTATAAGATTTAGACCGACTACAAAAGATGGCACCACGGCTACTCGCTTCAATGCGCGTTAGGATTTATTGTAAAGAAACGAAATTTATTAGTAATTTAGTAATTTATTAGTAAGAAAAAATGGTGACAACATGTTTGCATCCACAATTCGTAGATCTAAATCTTTAATGTCACGTACTTTATGTGGAAGGTTTTTTCATTCCTTGGTTAGATACAATATTTCAGATATACATTTTACACAATTGAATCGTTTTTTTTCAAAATCTATGAAAGTGGCTGTACTTGGAGCTGCTAGTAAAACGGGTAATTAATTTAGCTTACAGTTTCATTCATTTGCATATTCTTGCATATTAATTTCGTTGCTTTGTCGTAGGAAATTGTCTTTCGTTATTTCTAAAACAATCACCTTTAATAGACGAATTGGTAATTTACGATAGCAAATCTACTCATGGTCTTTCAGTGGACTTGAGTAACATCGACACGAAATGTAAGGTTAACGCGTGTGATTCCTCCGAGGAAAGTCTTAGAGAAACGCTCGTAGGTACGAAGATAGTGATGATCGTCACGGATCAAACGACAGGGGATGAAATCAAATCGAATGAAACATTGATGCATAACGCTAATATCCTATCAAACTTGCTACCAAATGTTATTAAATTTTGTCCCCAGGTAAGCAAGTAGACTTTCTAATAGTCCAACTATTTTACTGAATATAGTTTTGGACTTCATTAATCAATAAAGTCAGAGGAAGATTAATTACACTACTAAAATTATAGTTTCCTTTGCTGAAATTAAAATAAGAATTCTTTGATACCGAGTTGACTTCGATTAACCGTAACTACCGTTACTCTACTGAGTACTAATTAAGTCATTTGCTTCAGCCTTCCTGGAACAAATCGTGGGTACTTTTTTATCTCATAGATTAGCGATTGAATCTTCGTACATTCTTTTCTCCTGTTTAATTCATTCTTAATGGTAAATTAAAATTATTTATCATAAACCTCTGAAAATATGTTGCGATTACGAACCGTGCTTCATACACGGTTGACCATCGTTTTCCTTTTTTTCTTTTTTTTTTCACATATAGTAGTTGACCTCGGCTTTTAACGCCCTCGCAGCTTCATTAATTACGAGCAGACTGTTTTCGACATTCTTCGTGACAATCTCGACAAGGACAAGAGTGTTTGTCTTCCGACGTCTTCCATTTCCTTTATAGCGATGACGCGTTTCTTTTTCTGTTTTGCCTATTTTTACATCCGACTCCTTTTATCTTATAAATTTTACGAAATGCTAGCATTACCGGTATAATATAGGATTACGTGATTGGTAGCTCCGTAATAAACGCTTTTCCCTTCTCTTTTTCTTTAGGCTATGGTCGCGGTCGCAATGAATCCAATAAACAGCTTAATACCTTTGACGATGGAAATGTATAAGAAAGCCGGGATTTACAATCCTCATCGCATTTTTGGTGTAATTAGTCTGAACTGTGTTAGAGCAAATACTTTTGCAGCGGAAGTAATAGGTATCGAACCGGAATGCGTAATGGTACCCGTGATCGGCGGAGCTTGTTCGCACACATGTGTACCACTTTTTTCTCAAGCACAGCCTTGTAACAAAATATCCGAGGTTAATAATTTCCTTGTACAGTATTTCTCCTGTAACCGTAAATAATTAACTCGTTCATTAACCAATCAGCAAGAAGCTAGGAAATTAACAGAGGGGGTACGGACGACCGATGGAAAGATATCGAGGATGAGCAAAGACAAAGAAAGAACTTGTTTCGCTCTAGCTTTCGGAGCAGCCAGATTTTGCATATCTCTTTGCAAAGGTATCATACCTTATTCGTAATACTTTCCTCGCAATTAGATACAAATTGATGGTTCGTTTCGATCCGTTTAGCATTACGACATCAAAGCGGTGTCGTGGAATGCGCTTACGTTCGATCTTGTCTGATACCAGAGTTAACATATTTCGCTGCCCCCTTGGAATTAGGGCCAGATGGAATTCAGAGGCATCTGGGCATTCCACCTTTGAACGATTACGAATGTAATCTTCTTAAAACAGCTATGCCATTCATCAAAAATGCTATTACGCTTGGAGAGGTAATAGATCATAATTTGAAATTTAATCGGGAGAATAAACTATCTTCCATGATCGTTTCGCAGGCTCTTGCTCTTGGCGACGAGAATAATTTTTCCGAGGCACGTCTACAAGGTAGCAGTTCGGGCAACGAAGTGACTTCACCCCCTGTATCACAATCTTCGGCATAATTTTATAACGTGTGAACGTACAGTTAAAATTTGTTGTATGCTCTTCTTGCACATATGTTAATTTTGAAAAAAAGGAAAGCACGTATGAACCCGCAAAGCAAAGAACCTAACCCGACCAGGTGGAGTTTCCACGAGGGAAAAAACGATTTTGATGACATCGTTATCGAATCGTTTCACACTGAATGTTCAGCTGCTACCTCTGGTTGGTAACGTTGGAAAAATCGGCAACAATAGCTCGTAAAGCAAGCGAGACCGTGAAGCATCGTGTCGAAGCGAAACGCTGTACTCGAGATCGAGCCACGATAAACCTGTAAAATAGTTAATGGCGATCGTAATAGTGGCAGCGATCCATTCTATAGAGCATTGCTTTACGAGCAAGTTGGACGTCTGCATGGGGATTGGACGCATTTATTTTCGCGTAAATCGACGAGTGATCGGGCAGAAACGTTCGACCAAGTTTTCGAACGTGCCGCGAAAACAAAGCGATAAAGATAGCCTGTTACGGTTGAAGATGTACCTACAAATTGTTCTTCGTTTACGCGGCTGTCGAGTAGGCTAAAGACATTTCAACTGAAATGCTTTTCGACATCGTTACCGAGGAAAAGGAAAAGTTTGTTGGATTGTTGGTACCTGCGTGTATTAAAGACATATATCAAAATTCTTGCCCCATTATAACGGTGATGATCCAGTTGGAAGAAATCCACCGGTTTAGTCGCGTGGTTCCTGAGTTTACTGGTTTATTAAACGCGTCTAGCAAGAGAGCAAGTTAACCAGAGTCGCCTAACCAGGGAAGCCTTTGAATCTGATAAGAACAAATACAATCTGGTCTAAAAGATTGTAGAAGCGGACGCGGTTTTCGAAGAGCTACCGCATCAACGAGTCTCAGGTTACCAGGTAGATACGTGCAACAAAAGTACTAGAAACTCGTCCTTTCCGCATTCCCGACACGCCATGGTGTTCCCAAGTGTGCGCCGCGACTGCAGACAAGATACGGACGACTGCAGCTGGCAACTCTTTGGCAGAAGGGATTATTGCAGAGTCCCGAAGAGGGAGGAAGGTGCGGGTGTTGCCTATCGCAAATCCTCTCTCTAAGCGAACCACTCTTAAACTCTCTACATTCCAGCGCGATTCAACCTCACAAGCCATAACCGAACCGGTATAATAATACGAGCTGTTGCAAACGTCACGTTCTTCCTCTCATAACCGTTTTCTCTTATGAGTTACTCACTCGCCACCGCTATTTAACTATTAAATTTCTACATGCTCGAGCACAAATTCGTCGGTCTTACGTCTCAATCGTCTCGCGATCCTTTTCCACTCTCAACGGTTTACGATTTTCCATTAGATTGTCGTCACGTTCCGAAGCATCAACTGACGCTTTTAACGAGACATCATCGATCGTAACTAATGCACGATTCGAATAGTTTTCATGCAACGATCCATCTTTTTACTGGTGAACACACCGGTCGGCCTTGATAGACTAAACGACGAGGATCGTTTCGATGCTAACGATCAATTTCAGCGTAATATCGAGGTGCATAATAAGCTAATGAGTAATAAACTGGCCAACAAAGTAGCAAAATCATCAGATAAAACTGGATAAATGATGTAGGATGGAGTAGCAGGGTGGTGCTACTTCGTCTTACGATAGACTCTGTAAAAATTCTTTATTCGCTTGGAATCCCTTTGGCGGAAATTCGAGAATCGGTGACTCCTTTGACTCGTCCTCCTCTGGAGGATCATCGACGGACTGAACACATTTACGTGGTTCTTGCCACTGCAACTCGTGTACTTAGGTTGGTAACGCCGGTAACTCGCGGAGCAGGATATTAATCGCATAGTTTCTCACGACATAATAGTGGCAGTACCCACCTGCCCGCCTCTCGCGTCCACGATCTTTGATCGTCCAACATCGGAAACGCGGTGTCTATCGATAATTGCTTTAATTACGCTACGACGTTAACGGCCTTTGAAAGGTGAAAAATACAATCGTTTGCTGGTGTTGCGCGACAACGAACAAACGTTAAGTGGTCCGTTTAACTGGCGGCAGTTTCGTGGAAGCTATTTCAGGTAAAAGGCTAAGATCGGTTAGGTTGTTCGTTAGCGCGAATCAAAGAGAATTATTTCTATATTCCAGCCGCGTGTCGTTGCTTCGTAATAAATATTTTCCAGCTGCCCCTTTTCCAATCCGACGCGTTCGTATAACTGTCAACATCGATGAAACGAACTGTTATAACATCTAGAAATACATAAGTTGGCTGGTATTCGAGTATTAGAACGGCTCACACGACCGCTTTTTCTTACCAGAGACTGGCGCCGTCTGGCTCTTTCTTGTTGAATTCTTCTAATCAAAGAGGTTATCGAGGATTGCGTAGCGTCGATCGTGAGTTCTTCTGCCCAAGGACGTAGACTGGAGGACATACGTTGCGATTAAAAAGAGAAATCGTTTCAAGTATACTGGACCTGGTCAACGAAGAGAAGGCTGCAGGAGGTGACTTGCAGTCGTTTCGACGCGTGAGAAAATCTAGAAATCGCGCGTCCAAGGGATGGACAGGATTTTCGTCTCGATGCCGGAGATACGAATTTATTAGCGGGATCGTAATTTTTCATCGACGCTAATTCGTCACCGTAGGCGTTTGCTGGTACGATCAACGCATTCTAAGGACCGGTTATGAGAACGCGTTAGAAAGATAAGGGGATGCAGGAGGACAAATGGGCAAGAGGTGAACGTCCTATCCAAGACTATTTGCTGATATACCGAGTATGAAAGCGTTAAGACGCTAATCGTATCAGCTGACAGCCATTGTAAATGTACCTATTTCACCCTCGCGTATCTCTTGCCTTTAAATCGGCTACGCTATAGTTTCTCGTATTCTCTCTTATCGTTATAGCGTATATTCTCCTATTCTTCTATGGTATGCTTGGAAGAAAATATCAAGGTTTCTATGTCAGTTTTTTCGCAAATTCGACAAAAGAAATATTTTCTCTTCTAGTAGGTAAGGTACCTCTATAGGTAGTAACAATGGCGGGTATCGGGTATACTTGAGATAGGTAAGGAAAAGAAGAAGGAGAAGAGCAGAAAAAGAAAGGGATGACGGGTGAACGGCCGCTGAATGGCACGACCTTCCTAGGAGGCCGGTCGACCGGGCCAGCGGACGAGCGGTTGCAAGACGCGATCCTGCATATGCACTCCCCCGCAACAAGCTTCCGCGTTCGAAGAAGTACTCGAGGCTAGATGGGCGCAGGAATATCGTGGGGAGAGAGAGCTTACGGTGTCTCGATGCACAAGATAGGGAATAGAGGAACGTACTTTTGCCCGACATCAGGAAAGTCTGTTCTTCGAAGGCTTGCTCCGGCACGCACAGATACACGGGACGCGATCCCGTATCTTCTGCTTTGTTCGCTCGTTCATGGCCGTTTCTCTTCTTGATAAAGCGAAATCGTGGAGGACTCGAGGAGGAATCGATAGATCGCGCAAGACGGTTATTGGCGTGGTCTCGGCTCGATATTAAGTCGATTCGTTACGGCGTTGCTCGCAGAGTTATCTGCGGTGCGGTTGCATAGAGAGAAGTAAGGAAGATAGGACGTCGTCAGCGCGTATACTCGTGTCCCTACAATCCGCATAATCTTATTTAAGTACGACGACTCTAATAATAGTTGGAGCGAACTTTTCTTTAGCTCGGTTGGGTATTAGCGGGACAAGGTATATCCTATTTTCTCTCGTTGTCAATGAAAAATACGCGGAGCCAGCAAACCGGCTGGCAATACGGGTGCTCGCGCGAGTTGAGCTTTCGCAGCGGTGCGCAACGGGGCATAGGAGTGCAGTGACTTGCACCGCGGCTGCACCTAACCTCGCAGATCGTCCACTAGTTTTCTCTCTTTTCCCCTTTCGCTATTTACCTCCCTCTCTTCTAGGCTGCATTCAGATCCACCTACATCATCGCCATTGGCGCCTGTGCGCGATCCTCCGCGGAGATCCTGCTCGGGCCAAGGCGAAAGCATTGTTGCCAGCAGCCCTTAAGGGCAAAGGCGTAGTTCATGCGTCGGCATTGCAACGAGGTCGACTTGTTTATGGTGCCTCGGTAACGAGATGTTTCTCTTGCCAGATTAATATCGATGCCCTTCGCGTTTTCATTACCGTGGAAATCACGTTTCCCAAGTTTATCGGATACCTTAATCGACCAGTTTCGATCGTCCTTTTCAATCGTAAACGACATCATCGTTCGTTTAATCGTCAGATAAGAACAAAAACCGAACGTTTCCCTCGAGACATTAGCATCGCATTCTTCGCCCTTAATTTGAAGAAACTGTGATCGCAAAAGCAATCTTTCCCCAGCAATCTGCGGCAGGTGTTGGCTCGTTTCTCAACCACTTTTGAGTCTCGTTCCCTCGAAGAATTTACAGCCGCTTTACGTCGCGGAATGTACGAGTTTCTATTTTTCTACAGTATTTCGCGCTATCTCGTCGAACCCTGTTCAAATTTGCCCGCAATTCTACGTATACGTTCTTGATGCTACCATAAAGTTGCATACCCTTCGCGAAACGCGATATTCTACTCTCTGGTGAGCCAGCGACAGAACAACCCGTTCGAAAGTGACGCGATAAACAGTATTATCAAGAGCATAGGGCACCGGTATGCGTATTCGGGATACGAATGGGAAAATTATACGCATTCTCAAGAGAAAATATCGTTTCCAACTTACCCCTCGTCTCTTATAATTTCACCTCGAATAGCTCGACACGAAATAATTATCTCCGTTGAACGTCACAGCTTGAATTTTATGCGCATTAACTAAGAGCGAGAGAAAATAAAGAAATAAACTGGAAAGCATTCTACCCTTGTAGCTCGCGTGTCTACGGTGTTAGTCGTTCCAAGACATCCTTGAACTTGACGATCCTCGGGAACAGGAGGACGTCGATATAACGATCGAACGTTGGATCGTAAAAAAGTCGAGGAACATCGAGCGAAAGGATTTCTAGTACGGCCTTGCGTTTGCTGAAACGCTTTTCATCGCTTACCAGTTTACCTGGCATACCGCGAGGCAATGTGCTACGCACTTTTAAGACAATGTACGTTATCTGACCGAGGCATCTCTGTTCGAATCCTTAGATAGGAGAGTGAAGCCGAAAGAGGGGAATCTCCTTCTATTCTCAGCTGAACCTAGACCTCGACGGCATCCTTGAACTTGACAATAACCGCGAGGGCTGAGGGGACACCAGTGTACAGCCTTCAAAGTTCAAAGCATTCGCAATTCGCATCTAGTTATACATATTCCTCTGTATCTTGATTTAGCTTCGAAGCGTTCATCCTGTTCGAACAACAACTCGTAAACGGTAAATGGTAAATGGTAAATAGTAAATAGGTAGCGCATATTTGAACAGTGTATCATTTAGTCCTTTTATCGATTTAAATCTATTGCTCGTCGATTTATCGTGCCTGCATAATCGTACGCATGAAATAAATTTTTCGCGGAACGAGAAAATCGAGCGTTAAGTTACAGGCTTGAATTCTTTATGGCCGAGAGAGTACGTGGTAAACAGGGTATGAAATATTGCGCTGTAGAACGCGTCTTGCATTTGTAATGCTAATACTGTAAACAAGTTGAATGGTAAAAATGAAATAATAAGCGTAGTATGATGCCAAGGATACGTTGTGTAACACTCGTTCTAGACATATTTTACGTTTCCTAATACGATATAAAAAAAATAGCTACCCCTAATAGGTTGCTCTTGAGAAAATTCTCCTCCCCCCCCCCCAAGAAATCGTTAAATTGTTATAATGTAAGAACGATAGCCGGCAACTCGTTTGTCGACTCTGTATCCGCACCTACCTACGTAGGGAATAATGTTACTCAACGAGTATATTACTTTGCAACATTCAATCGACGTTCCCTGAATTGCGCGATGCTATTCGTTTTTCATAATATTAATTTCCTTACGTTCATATTTTCTCTATGGAAGAACAAAGTATACATGCTGTTTTTAATTGCACGTGATATAGTGACTACAGCACTTCAAAATTCGCAGAGATTTTGAATAATTCTCCTTGAACTCCGGGAGATGTAGAGATACGCGTGTTGTAATAATTTCACGTTGATCGCAAGGTTAAAACTCGGCCATTTTCTACCATTGTCCATTCCAAGAATAATTATAACTTACGATAATCACGGGTGTCCCTCCGTCAAGAAGTCGCGTAATTTAAGATCAACGCATGGAACCCTACCGCGAATACCAATTTTGCATAATCGTGTATTCCGCCCGGCCTGTTCGCTATATCGCGGCAGGGATTCACGCGTGCTTATCTTACAACGTCTAGGCAATATCTCTGTGTAATGTGTAAGATGCATGGTCAACAGTAATTGTGCAAGTTTCAATGTAAACGCGAACAATGTTTCAAGAATACCAATTCAGAAACACGCTACCTCCACTGTCGAAAAAAACGAAAGATTTTTCTCTCCGCTAAATTTGCATCTGACTCGAGCTTGTACTTTAGTTCTTCCTCCCTGCAATCATCTTTTTCAACGAGCTCACCGTGGGATTTTCGAAATCTTCAAAATACGATTTGCGTATATCCGCATTTAACCGGGATAATTAGCAGTATTCGATGCGTTTCCTAGCGATCTACGAAAGTGCCTATACTTTCGTCTAAATCGAACGAAACTACCGAAGGAAACTTTCCTTTCCTTGCATAACGCGTAAGAGGCATAGATTTATCGGTAATTTTCTTCGATCACAAATTATCCCCTTACGATTCTCGGTCAGTGGAAGCTCCGATAATCAGGAAGTAGATTTTGCCGACGAATACAGGTATCGCGTGACCAGGGGATACATACTCGATTTCCTACGAACATTTCGCGAAACGTACACCAATGGTTGCGCAACGCGTTCCTCGGTAACATGGAAAGTGTTGCGTTTCGCGACGCACGCGTTTTCCACCGTTATCCATCTGTAGCCAATAGATCGACCATGCTAATGAGCTTTCTGTAACGGTACGCATGTAAGTACGTATTCCTCGACGCGAGTCTCGTATCACCTGGGACAATCGACTGTCAATCGAACGACTTCGATTAGGCAACTTCCCTTTTCACGCGCGTAAAACACGTTGCGTATTTTCAGCGGGCAGAAGTTTGTATTCCGAAAGAATTTCACGTCGTTTCGATAAGTTCAAATTGCATCACGTCGCATTACGACTACTGATATAGGTTGTTAATGAGTCGGAGTGCACGGTACTTTGCGGCTTACCGCACAGCTACCATCATCAACTTTTTGATAACTTCTGAGCTCCGCTATAATAACAACAACGACGACGATCATCGTGCCAATAGTAATAATAATGGAAAATAAAATGCGAATGTTTATAAGGTAAAATAAAATGCGAACGTCTGATATTTCATGCAAGCTTTCCTTCCTCGATATGCCATCAAATTTCACCGACGTGGCACCGTTATTATTTCCGGCATATCGATCAAATAACACGAAGCTTTAATATGGAGCAAGCAAACGAATAATAATATTTCTGATCACGAAATCGATTATGCAACGTGCACGCGTTACGTAAGAGATCAGAAAACCCGTTAGTTCGGCGTCCAATTGTCACTTTTCTGATTGATATTTTCGCAGATCGGATTAGAACGGTTCGTGCACGTCGAGGACAACCTATACGGATCTCTGGGTGACCGCTTCTTGCATATAACGCGTCAGATGAAGACACGCGAGTGCGGTTACACGTCTAACTGAAACTTGAGATTCGCGCGTGTTTTCCTGGATTATAAATTATTCCTCTATCCACCATCTTTTAGAAAACGTATCGACTGCAGGAACTCGCGTTTCATCGTTGTTTTCTCTTTCCTCTCTCCGGGTTTCTGAACAAAAATCGAAGGAAAATCAAGGGATAATAAGATGTAGCTTCATCGTGAAAGCTTTGATCGTTCAGAAAAGTCTGAATGGTTCATGCTGAGCGAAACGTAACAGTACAGGGCAAACCGTTCCTTGACGACAATGGTCTCAGTCATTTACCATAATGTCACATTGTTCCCGAGTAGCATACCCGTGGTACACACCCACGATTCTGGTTCGCTGTACGCTCAAAGACGGATACAATGTATGGGCTTTGATGATTATTATAAGATCATTTTCCTTTCTACGCAAGGCATTACGTCGCACGAATTTCCGTGTAAAGAAGTATTGTTGGCATCCAATTGGCGACTGTCGTTCATGAAGGGATGTCACGATGTTTGCAACGTATGTACATTTGAAACGAGTTTCAACGAGAACCACAGAATTTTTTAACTGCTTTATCGTGTACTCGTTTCCACCTCTTGCCGTAAATCTTTAAAAGGAATACATCGGTCTTCGAAGCTCGCGTTTTAACGAGAGAAACGATCGTTAGCGTGTTTTTCAACAAGATTTTCTACTTACGATAAGAGCTTGCTACACTTTGAGAAGTCGAAAGAATTTTCCATGTCGACGAAAGGAAAGTATTCTCGATTTTACGGAACATCGCGAAATCCCAAGCAAACTATACGATCATGTACCTTCGTTGTTCTCCAGACGGATCGTTCATCTTGTTAACCGCCTCCACGCGCTACCGGTCGTATCGTAGCCATATCCACTCGCGGAATTGCAAAGCGTAAAGATCGCGAACAGCCAGGAAAGCGAACTCATCGTTAACTCTAACGGTTCCTTTGAATCTTCCTAGTCCCCTGTACGATCTTACGATCACGATCTTTGCTCCTTCGACTCGAGAACTCCTCCATCTCCTCTTTTACTGGAACGCCTGTATCTACCGAACCGATTTCTCCTAGCGGGGCATCACATTTTTCTTTCTCACTACGCGTTGCTGCAACGCGAGTACGAAATATTCGTAAAAAGTAAGAATCTTGCATTGTCAATCGAATTTAATGATATTTCAACGTTATCTGGTATCGAGTTTTCTCGTCTTTTTCAAAGGTTCTCTTCTCTCCGCCTATTTTCCCTTCACACGGCTCTCGAATGGTTTACATGGCTCGTAATCAGAGTCGTGACTACCGTAGGTTCGCACGATAGAGCCACACGAGGGACTTGGTTCGAGGCTGTTATGGATAGAGCGAGGCTTAACTCTCGATCACCTATCAACCAAGATCATAGGTTAGTTGGGGTCGATACTCGTTTAACGCTTTTACCTTCAGCCAGATACGTTGGCGGGTACCTAACCCATCGACCTGTCGAGGAAAACCTTTCCTCTCTCGTGACCACTTTTCATCGTGTTATTTTTCAAAGTGTTACCAAGCGAAAGGAAGCGTTCTAACGAGTTATTTCTCAGCCACTAACAAATAACTTTGATTTACAGTCGCATAACTGTCGCAGTAATTAATATCCTGCACGCTCTCAGCGTTTCGACACTAATTACGTAGTAATGTCCCACCTCGTCGATAGAACGGGACAAGAAAAGAGGTTACGTGGCATCGTTTCCCTTCCTTCTTTCTGGTATTGTTCGATAACTAGGTGATCATACTAGGCATCGTGATGTTTACCGGCACTCCTTCGAGCCGTAGATAGATCTGCCGCTGCATTTATTGTGGGAACGGAAGACTCGACTCGAGTCGACTCGGCTGGCGAAGAAAACGCTCGAGATACTTGGTACTAAAATTGTATATTAGCTAACGGTGCAATCGTTGTCAACGGAACTCGATGCAAAATGTGCATCGGCTCCTTTCACTCGTATCGAATGAATCAACTGCAACGATTCGTTGTTCGGCCAGGATTGGCCTTCGTTTTATTTGACAACTGATTACTGGCAAAAATGTCCGACAATGTAGGGAGAGGAATGAAATTAGAATTAATGGAGTATCGACCTTATCCGTGTATGACAAGTGCTGCTCACGTTCGATGAATCATGAACGATCTCGAGGAGCGGCAAGAGGCAAATGCACGCGGCTAGCATATACATTCGTCGTTGGTAGGTAAATTGTTAATAATTCTATCGCGTGCGACGAGTGATTTTTATTGTTTGTAGACTCGTTGCACTGGAAAGGTCGTGTACGCGTTCATCTTCCACGTTCATAGTCGTTTCACGAACAATCTTTTATTTGTATTCTTTGGAACGGTGAAATGTTTTGCTCGTTGTATATGTGTTGCGATTAAAAGTTGTGCAACGAAGGTAGAAAGTGTACGATATCGGTTTTGCAACGTAATCGAACAATCGTAGATATTAATGCCCGATAGTATTGGGTTCGCCGTGAAAAGCGCTTGACGGTTTATCCGGCCAAGTAGGTTACGCTATTACTCGAAGGGAGAAGAAAAAAAAAATAGTCGATGGAGCGAACGGTGACTGCAGGTCGGGTGGTGCAATCTCGGTGAAGCAAAAATCCTGTAGCCTGTCTGCGTTCCCTTCCTCGGCACGAAGTTTAAATGTTAGCCACAATAGCGTGCCATGTCAGCTGAATCGTGTCGAAACAAACGGGCGAGAGGTTCGATCGACGGACCTTCTACCCGAGTTAAACCTGTTGTACAGCTTATGTTAATGTTCGGTGGAAAATTGTGCGCGAAATGCACTCTCTTCTTCAACTTGTTGAACTTGTCGAACTTTTTCAACCGCCTTATTCCCTCGCAATTAATGAACGCGATAAATGAATTACCCTATTTTTCTCTTTACTGTCGATACTAACGATCGTACATTATTCCTGCTGTTTCTCCGCCTCGGAGTTACGAGTCTTGTCGTAGGTCTGCAATGTTTCGTACAAGATGATGTAATTGTCGCGAAGCTGTACCAAACGATGCCACAAGTTGGCGTGAATCAGCTCGTTAGGCTTGGATTCTTCTTCGAGCAGCACCTGATGAAACAGCGTTTCGTTAACAAGCTTCGAAGCACGGTTGAAAGTCGTTGTTACACTCGGATCGGCTCGAAAGGGAAATTAACGCATTCCCCGCGGTAACCATACGCAACGGATAGAATTGGCTTTAAGAATCGCGTACTTTGTCGGCGGTGGTTCGTCGTGCACGATGCACTTGAAGGTACTTTAGATGGAAGAACAACTCGTATGCCCAACAGTCGATGGTTTCGGTGTTGCGAGTTGCATTCGTTAACTCGGTGGAAGTCGTCGGGGTCGCCAAAGCGACCGCTTGCAACCAGCGTTTCAGCTGAAATGTATTTTCTTTTTTAAACGGATCAAACGCACGATGTCGAAGACTTACGATCGTTGTGTCGGTGATGAGTTTCACCACAGCGGGTCGCATAATATCAATGAGCTTTCCAATGACCGTGGTGTCTTTCTTGAGCGCGAACATGCAAGTCGAGAGAGAGCTGTCCCAATCGGGCGAAGGTCCGCATTCGGCGTTTTTCAACTCTCGCCTTCGTTCAGAAACCAACGCGAGTGATCAATTTCTGTTTCTTACGAAAAACTCGATCGATCTTACCTTTGGAAGAACGTTGAAACAACGTTATTGATTAGGTATTTGGAGGGAGCAATGACAATCTTCTTCGTACACGCCGTCAAGGTGCTGACTATAAACGCTAATAACTGTCCAAGAGGTCCGGGCCTTCGACGCCCATTGCAACTAGCTACCCCTCGCGATCGGTAATATTTTCTCTTGCAAATTCCATGTCGCGATCGACTGCGATCACACATCGACATAGAGTAGTAACTCGAAACTAGAGGAGCCAAAATGAAAAGGAAATGTCTCTATTTCACTCGTAGGCGTCCGTTTCAACGTCTATCGGCAATTACCACCAAAATCTGAGACGCTGTTCAAGTCACAATTTTTTGTAGTGGAAAGAGTAGATTGACACCTGGGTTTTCGACCAACCGCGTTCTCGTCGTACTTGTTGTTTTTAACAGATTCCGGCATATATTCGTTGATGAAAGCATTCAGTTCGATGATTTTGTTCGGAAACGTTTCTAAACAATTAAAGGCCTGCACGAGAATATAGCAGGTAACAGAGAGGTTAAGCGCGACGATAAAATTATGTATGTTTCGTACTTCTCGATGAAGATGCTCGAGACTCGAAGTCTCGCCACTTGTCTCGGAAGTCATCGCGGTATTTCACCAGCAATCTGGGCTAAGAAGCGTAATTGGATATCTCACGTAAATTTGGACTAACGTTCATCTTGGCATTCGCGTAGGGTGAAAACCAGCGAAAACACGATTCTCGAGTAGCGTGCACGATATGCTAAAAATTTTCGACAACGAACGATCGCGATCTCCATCGTAGCCATAAACGCGAATTTATCGTTGAAACGCACGGCACGAATTTATTAACTTCGTGTCGGAACGATTCCTGGACAAATTTAACGGAAGATCTTTTCGTCTTACAGGTGATGTCCTTTTTACCCCGACGACACGAGTGGAAATGGAGAAAATCCATGGATATGGAGTACAAGGTTAGTGATCTACTTCAATTTCTATCGAGCAGTTTGTTCGATACTAAAAGATGCTGGTTAATTGCGTATTTATGAGCATGGCTGTAGGAAAGGTTACTCGATAGATTGTGTAAAGGCGCGTTTTCTGCGAAACAAAGGCTCGAGGTAAATAGTGTAACGAATAATCCGGTGTGCGGAGTATAGGCTGCATTCAAAAGCAGAGACGGTTAATGAGAATGCAATGGGTGCCTTAACTCCGCTTAGGATCGCCGAGCTGGAAACGGATGTGCTTCCAGATTTTTCCTAATTAAGATGTGGCCGGTGCAACTCCATTACGTAAAGCAACCATCTTGATTTACCGTTCGACTCGACGGCGATCCGGCTACAACAAAACCTTTATGGTCACGAGAGAATTGGAAGGGTTCGAAAAGAAAGAGGAACGAAGGGCTGCTGATCTTCTGCCTTCTTCTTCTTCTTCTTCTTCTCCTCGTTCTCGTCGTCGTCTTACATCTTCTCTTCTTTCTGCTTCTTTACATTCGCGTTCGCGAGTTTCGCGGAGGTGCCGAGGTGAGATCTCCTCGAGGATCTACCTACGATGCACGGTCGCTATTACCGGCACTGCCAAGGGCCGACTGGAATGCAATGCAAATTTTATACGAATCGGTCGTCTCGCCACTCGTCCAATGTCTGTTCGAGTCCAAACCTTCGATAGCCTGACCGGAGCAAACACAACTATGTACATACATAGTTGTGGAATAATTTAAAAACAACGTGTATTCGCGAATAATAAACTTTGCAATGGGAGATAGAAGCAAGTAGTCAAAAAGAATCGACCGCGTTGATTATATGGACTGATAAGGATGCCGGCGGCTGACAGTGCGACCAAAGACGGCCACGACCAGAACGGGACGGAAAGAGCAAAAGAAAAACAAAGAGAAAAAGAAGAAGAAGACGAAGAAGAAGAAGTCAGAAGGTATCACGGCCAAAGACATTTCTATGCGCGCCCACTGTCAACGAAGATAACTTACGACTTGGCGGAATGGTAATGGCCGTGGCAGACATTCCGTCCTGTTGCAGATTTAATAGACTCGTCCTGATAGCGGGCTACGGAACATGTCACCGCTCGTGGCCAATGATTTACCGATGGACAAGTCTTGTCAACGCCATGTTGATTTTAGACTTTTTCTAGAACGCGTTAAATCGAGCTATGCGAACGCCAGGTGCCAACCCGACTTTTAAAAAATTAACTTTTTTCCCCCGTATAATCCTGAATCCGTATAAATCAGATTCCTTTCACGATTTTCGTTACAATCGGAAAAGCCTAGAACTATAATCAGAGATTTCGACCTGTTAATGTCGCTCGTTCGAGCAAGTTTCTGCTCTTTGACATAGAATAGGTTCGTTCACTCGTATTCTGTACATCGAAACCGTCCAACAGGAAGTGGATTTTTCTTCCGTACGATCATTGGCCTATCTGACGATTTAAGAAGAAACTCTAGGCGTTTGAACAAGCGAAAGATGGAGAAAGTTGTCCTGTTCTAAGCGTTGCTTTTCATTCTGGGTGTTAATGGACCTAGCGTTTCACTTAGCGCCCTGTTTTAGGGATCGTGATATTCAATGAAAGCAGATATATACGTTCGTATCGTATTCTCGGCTTTCTCATTAACACCATCGGCTCTAAGAGTCCAAGCGTTTCGTGTCGAATAAACTTCTTGGAAGAACGCTCTCTTTTCTCGCGTAGCTAATCTCCGTACACGCGTAACGCTTGTTTACGCGTCGCGTTCTGCTACTGGTAAAACATAAATCGGAGCCTGGCGAACGAACGATTCGACGAATTCACTGCACAGAGGCTGGCGTATTTGCGCAAAGCCCCTAGCTCGGACGCTTACCAGGGCACGCGATCCTCTTCTTATCTGTGCGCATTCGCGCCAACTGCTACGCATCCACACCCCTTATTTCGCGTAATCGCGTGCAACTTAGTTGCATTTACATACACGTGTTAGAGGCCCCGCTTAATCACAGATACAGGGACTCTTTTTTACAATAATAAGGATGTACTTGGCGAAGCACACCGGTTACGATCCACTGTTCGAGAAAAAGAAGGAAAACTCAGTTCGAATCGTTTGTCCCGTCGCGTGTTTCTCAGCTATTCGTACAGAAATTGGAAGATTGCACGTGCATGTCAGAAACTTCTTCGTCTTTCTATTATACATTTTACACAGTCAAAATGATCGATCGGCTACGCATGCGTTGCAAAGACAGTGGACCGTTTCAAAGCAACGAGGTCGACTCGAAACAGTGTTACGAACCTCAATAGAGATAAACTTAGCACAACGAAGTGCTATATTTAAACTGGTGTGTCTTTGTCCGCGAGTTTGTCGTCCTCGCTTAATCGGATTGTTCCGAATGCTACTACACCGTGTAAATTACAGGACAAATGTACGTGTAGAGTATAGACGATGGATGGCGTACTGTTTCGTTTTCTCGATTCGAATCGCGTAAGCAAAGATGGAATGGGAATTGAAGAGAAGCGGAGGGAAATAAAAGGATTTATCGTTGTCGCGATCGCGTTAATTGAGTTGGCACTGCACGCTCGACGTTGACACTCGATGAATAACGTTGTCTTCCTCGGTCTCGACTATGCGTAGTAACAATTTACCGAGTTTCCGTGAAACTTGGCGATATCGTGTTTCATCGTCGAGTTCAGTGGATGTCGTAACGAGACGCGAGGTGCAGCTCGATCGAGGATCGGCGGTAGAGAACGACGGAAGTACGGACACGTTCGATCATTGACAGCGAACGAGAGCCTCGATGCAATTTCAATAGGAGCGGGAGTGGATGTAAGAGGAACGGGATGCATAGATTGCAGGACATTCTTGTAGAGCAACAGGTTTACCGTGAAAAGAAGTGTACAGAGTATAGAGGGAGGGCTTGATAGAGTTAGTTTATAGTCGGTCGATTATAGTGACCCGAGGCAACTGGTAGCGAGTGTTTGAGAACAGTGTTTGCCACGGCCATCTGTCAGCACATCTGTTCTTAACGAACGATTAGATATCATTTCTCGATACCTTTCTGTCGTGCAATTACCTTTTCGCTATACCTTACACGCTGTAACGTACGATTTATCGGCATGAGTCGATAATGGTGAATCTTTAAATAGGAGGGAAAATCGTTAAGGCTCTTTTCGTTTGTATCGTAATGCCGATAAGCAGAGCGGCATGACTTATTATAGGAGGAACGTTAATACGATGTAAAAGCCAGCGACGGATGAATAACTGGAGGCAGAGCGAGGCGAAGATTGGTAGGTCGTGAGCTTGCTGTAAAGTTGCAGCACACTGTCGGTGTAACGGCATGGCGAATCTGCTGGCACCTATCTGAAATGGCATCTGGATTTTTACAGACGTCCGTGTCCTACGAGCTACGATATCGCGTATTCACGCTACGTTAGAGGCTCTGCTTCCACGCAATGTCTTGCACGCTAATTACAACGTATCCGCGGTTGAGATTGAATGCGGGCGATATTTCATATAGGACAAGAGCGCTCTCGCTTGCGCAACAACGTCTAATAATGATTGCGAAAGCGATAATACGTAAGCGAGGTTCTCGCAAGGGGATCGAGGCCGAAGAAAGTACATCGCGGACAACGGGCTAAACTATCTGCAAGGGAGTGGTGCAAACTGATAACGATGGAGATGCTATTCGCGATTCCCTCCTAGATATTCTACATCGAATTGCTTCTAGATTCCTTCGTTCACCTAATCGAGGAATCATAAGACGCGAGCAACCGGCTTACGCAACAGAGCCAAACACATCGCGAGAGATAGCTATGAAATGGATATTACAGAGTTTTCTCACTGACGAGAATGCAGGCGCGATCGCAATTGCCGGTGCAAGGAGCCTTTCTAATTTTCACGTGGCGCAACGCGCGATTCTTCCTCCGGGTCTGGCTCAATTAGCATTTCTGGCTAATCACATTCTCGCGAATCTACTTTAATTGCGATCACTTTATAAACGCGACGACACAGCTGTCGAAACGAGCGTTTAGCGTACTTGGCACTTTGCTAGTCGTTTGCTTTTAGATCTCATGGTCGAACGAAAATTAAATTGTGGCTCGTTAGAAAAACAGTCGGAAGATTGTCCAAAATATTTGACGGTAAATTTCACAGCGTCGTCGTTCTCTTTAGCATTAATCTTGGCTCGTGCACCTCTTACTACACTCCTTGTTTGCTTGTCAGCTTTGTCTCGATGGCTCCGCGATTTGAAGCCGTCCCTATTATAACCGAAGCTGCAGTTTTCTCTGGTTTATCGCTAAGCAAGCATCTAAATGTCGTCACGTAAGAACCATAGGGTAGATGCCCTTCCACGACGGATGCGCGAACTCGTTTGGAATATTGTGCCTTGAACTCAGTGTACGAACTTGATTAACTCGACATAACGCAAAATAGCGTTATGAGTCTACTAGAAACGGTCAAGCGCGTTGATTTATTATTACGATCGTTTCGATAGTTTCGATGTCAAGGCTCGCCAACATCAGGAAGTCTCGTTTCCTTTCAGTAGATAATTCCAGGGGACCTTCGTTGTTATCGTAGAAGTGGATAGCTGCGAAAATTGAACGCGTAAGCTATCTCGCGTTCCGCATTCCTTCGCTATAATTTACTGGTCCGAATCGTTCGTAAGTTTTAGTTTGACGCGAGAAAGAGGAGAAGGTATTCATTTCGTGTCCAAAGCGATGCATCCGCAGAAAATGCTCGCCCAGAAGCAGGAACATCGTGTTCCTGCCATTAGGGTTATTGCGAACCGTGACAGAGGCATTTAGATTCAGCTGGAATGCA